TCTAGTATGCATATTTTTTGTCCCTTCAAATATACTGCCTGCTGACATTTTGTGTCTCGGCTCAACTGTTTGGGTTGTTTGCTTACTCACGTCTGGAAAAAAAAATCTAGGACCAGGCAGGGCCATGCAGCACATCATGGGTAACTGCCTCAGTAGCCCATATAAACAATGCAACCAGCATCTGTCAAGCTGCCTTCAGCCAAGATGAAGTTACCTAAGTAATTTTCATGGGATTAAAACTACAGTAGGGCCCCACTTATATGGCAGGTTAGGTTCCAGGCTACTGCCGGAAAGCAGACATCGTCGGAAAGCAGAACACCATTTTTTTCCACTTAACTGGCATTTATATGCATTTATAACAAGTTTGCACTAACGCATATTACGTTAGCAATAGAAATAGGCATTAAAAAACAAAAAAATGTAAAATACACACACTACACCCATTACTTACCTTAAAATATTTGTAGTCTTAATGTAGGTTGAGAGATGAGTTTAATTTGTAGGAAGTCAGGTTTGGGAGGTATGGTAGCCAGCCAGGTCGGCCCACCCCCACCCACACGTAATATACTACATTTAATTAAAGCTCCCCAGGGCGATAAAATACATACAGTACATTCATTAATTACCTTAAAATATTTGTACAGTGGACCCCCGCATAACGATGGCATCACATAGCGATTAATCCGCATACCGCTTGCTTTAATCGCAAAAATTTTGCCACGCATACCGATTAAAAACCCGCTCACCGATTTTCGTCCGAGACGCGTCCAATGTGCGCCCTCAGCCAGCCTCACATGTGCCGCCCGTGCCATTGTTTACCAGCCAGCCTCCGCGGTAACATCCAAGCATACAATCGGAATATTTCGTATTATTACAGTGTTTTCGGTGCTGTTTCTGGAAAATAAGTGACCATGGGCCCCAAGAAAGCTTCTAGTGCCAACCGTACACCAATAAGGGTGAGAATTCCAATAGAAATGAAGAAAGAGATCATTGATAAGTATGAAAGTGGAGTGCGTATCGCCGACCTAGTCAAGTTGTACAAGAAACCCCAATCAACCATCGCTACTATTGTGGGCACCAGAAAGACAATCAAGGAAGCTGTTCTTGCCAAAGGTTTAACTGTGTTTTCGAAACAAAGATCGCAAGTGATGGAAGATGTTGAGAGACTCTTATTGGTGTGGATAAATGAAAAACAGCTAGCAGGAGATAGCGTCTCTCAAGCGATCGTATGTGAAAAGGCTAGGAAGTTGCATGAGGATTTAATTAAAAAAATTCCTGCAACTAGTGATGATGTGAGTGAATTTAAGGCCAGCAAAGGTTGGTTTGAGAGATTTAAGAAGCATAGTGGCATCCATAGTGTGATAAGGCATGGTGAGGCTGCCAGTTCGGACCACAAAGCGGCTGAAAAATATGTGCAGGAATTCAAGGAGTACATAGACAGTGAAGGACTGAAACCTGAACAAGTGTTTAATTGTGATGAAACAGGCCTGTTCTGGAAGAAAATGCCAAGCAGGACCTACATTACTCAGGAGGAAAAGGCACTCCCAGGACATAAGCCTATGAAAGACAGGCTTACTTTGTTGATGTGTGCCAATGCTAGTGGTGATTGCAAAGTTAAGCCTTTATTAGTGTATCACTCTGAAACTCCCAGAGCGTTCAGGCAAAAGAATGTCCTCAAGGATAATTTGTGTGTGCTGTGGAGGGCAAACAGTAAGGCATGGGTCACTAGGGACTTTTTCTATAACTGGTTACACCATGCATTTGCCCCCAATGTGAAAGATTACCTAACTGAAAAGAAATTAGAACTTAAGTGCCTCCTGGTGTTAGACAATGCCCCTGGTCATCCTACAGACGTGGCAGAGCGACTTTATGGGGACATGAGCTTCATTAAGGTGAAGTTTTTGCCTCCTAATACCACTCCTCTCCTGCAGCCCATGGACCAGCAGGTTATTGCAAACTTCAAAAAACTGTACACAAAAGCTCTGTTTGAAAGGTGCTTTGTAGTGACCTCAGAAACTCAACTGACTCTAAGAGAGTTTTGGAGAGAGCACTTTAATATCCTCAATTGTGTAAACCTTATAGGTAAGGCTTGGGAGGGAGTGACTAAGAAGACCTTGAACTCTGCTTGGAAGAAACTGTGGCCAGAATGTGTAGACAAAAGGGATTTTGAAGGGTTTGAGGCTAACCCTGAGAGGATTATGCCACTTGAGGAATCCATTGTGGCATTGGGAAAGTCCTTGGGGTTGGAGGTTAGTGGGGAGGATGTGGAAGAGTTGGTGGAGGACAATGAAGAACTAACCACTGATGAGCTGATAGATAACTTCAAGAGCAAGAGGCCAGACCTGAGGAAACTGGTTCAGAGGAGGGGAGAGAGAAATTGAAGAAGTTGCCTACTACAAAGATTAAAGAAATCTGTGCAAAGTGGCTTGAAGTGCAAACCTTCATGGATGAAAATCACCCTCACACAGCTATTGCAAGCCGTGTTGGCAACCTGTACACTGACAATGTTGTGAAACACTTTAGGGAAGTCATAAAGGAACGAGAGGTACAGGCCACTATGGACAGATATGTTGTGCGAAAGAAGTCCAGTGACTCTGAAGCTGGTCCTAGTGGCATTAAAAGAAGAAGGGAAGTAGCCCCAGAAAAGGACTTGACACCTCAAGTCTTAATGGAAGGGGATTCCCCTTCTAAACACTAACACTCTCTCTCCCCTCCTCCCATCCCATCAATCATCACCAGATCTTCAATAAAAGTAAGTGTCATGTAAGTGTGCATGCCTTTTTCAGTTTGTGTGTATTAAAATTAACATTTCATGTGGTAAAAAAATTTTTTTTTCATACTTTTGGGTGTCTTAACCGGATTAATTTTATTTCCATTATTTCTTATGGGGAAAATTCATTCACATACCGATTATTTCGCATAACAATTACCCCTCTTGCACGGATTAAAATCGTTATGCGGGGGTCCACTGTATTCTTAATGTAGGGTGAGAGGTGAGTTTTATTTGTTTGTTTGAAGTCAGGTTTGGGAAGTATGGTAGCCAGCCAGGGCAGCCTTCCCCACCTCACCCACATGTAATATACTACAACATATAATTAAAGCTCCCCAGAGCGATAAAATATATATACAGTACATTCATTAATTACCTTAAAATATTTGTTGTCTTAATGTAGGGTGAGAGGTTAGTTTTATTTGTAGGAAGTCAGGTTTGGGAAGTATGGATCATCTGCAGGGTGCAGGGGCAGCCCTTTCCCCCCATCCCCACCCACACATAATGTAAACAAACCAGGCGAACGCGTCTGGTTTTCATCACTTTACATTGTGTACCAGTTGTCTCCACATTGATACAGTAGAATAAATAAAGAGAAACATTCCCATTCTTATGTAACACCATTTTTAGAAGAAATAATGCCCTGAGTGAAGGCATACTTGGGTACAGGTAAACAAACATATAATTATCAGTTTGGAGGGATATGTTGTGTATCTTTATACGTATATACAGTGGACCCCCACATGACGATCACCTCCGAATGCGACCAATTATGTAAGTGTATTTATGTAAGTGCGTTTGTACGTGTATGTTTGGGGGTCTGAATTGGACTAATCTACTTCACAATATTCCTTATGGGAACAAATTCGGTCAGTACTGGCACCTGAACATACTTCTGGAGTGAAAAAATATCGTTAACCGGGGGTCCACTGTACTTCTAAACTGTTGTATTCTGGGCACCTCTGCAAAAACAGTGATTATGTTTGAGTGAGGTGAAAGTGTTGAATGATGATGAAAGTACAGTACAATGGACCCCCGGTTAACGAACTTTTTTCATTCCAGTAGTATGTTCAGGTGCCAGTACTGACCGAATTTTTTCCCATAAGGAATATTGTGAAGTAGATTAGTCCATTTCAGACCCCCAAACATACACGTACAAACGCACTTACATAAATACACTTACATAATTGGTCGCATTTGGAGGTGATCGTTAAGCGGGGGTCCACTGTATTTTCTTTTTGGGGATTTTCTTTCTTTTTGGGTCACCCTGCCTCGGTGGGAGATGGCCGACTTGTTAAAAAAAAAAAATAATAATGTAAGTATATAGACCACCTGGGCTACATACCTACACCTACCTACATAAGTACACGATATTTAATGTTGCCCAGAGCCATATTATTACCATCGACATAACTTGTTCACCGAGTTTAATAATTTATAACAAATACCTTTAAATACCATCATAAACAAAGGGAGAAGTAATGAATAATTCATGCCAAGAATTGTAAACAAAAGCGTTATGCATTAAGGGGAGTGATGTAATGTTTTCCCTCCATTCGGCTACCACACCGCCATAGTATATACAGTAAACATAAAATGTTTATGTGCTATGTAACGTATTTCTTATATAATTTTGAAGAAAATATCATAGATGGATTAGTGAAAATGTCTATATTGATGTAAAATAAGACATTTAATGAGCCCAAGAGTGATTATTATTAGTATTAAGTAATGTTTTCCCTCCACCCGGCAACCACACCTCTATAGCATATAAACAGCATGTTTATATGCTATGTAATGTGTTTCTTATATAATTTTGAAGAAATATCGTAGATGGATTAATGAAAATGTCTATATTGACGTAAAATTAGACATTTAATGTACCCAAAAGCGATTATTACTTAATAGAGAGATGTGCTTATGGAGAATGTAAGCAAACCGGGTGATGTGTGCTGCATTTGAAAGACCGCTTGCCGCATAGAAAGTTTTGGTAATAATTTGAGGTTGCCGTATTAGCAGAACACCGTAAGGCAAAATGCCGAAAAGTGGAGCCCTACTGTATTATGTGTGAGGCAATACCATCAAAGAAAAAATGTAGTGAAATATGTTTCATCTATAGATAAAAGCAGTTCAGAAGATTTTGTTTTTATAAAGTTTTCACTATACATTAAATGTGTGATCATGTATGTATATTACTTTAAAAAAATAATTTTATTATGATTTTCCAAAGGACAGCGCAACTTCTTTCAAGAGTTGCAGAAGGTGTAGGTCAAGCAGAATTCTTTGGATGCCTTTGGGATTGCATATGGGGCAATTCAGGGGTCCGTCTTCCTGCCATCACGCACATCATGGCATGTTACAACAAAAAACTCTCAACAGAAGATCAGCTTTACATCCTTGGTACAAATATTGATGTCACGGTAAGTACAGTATTATCAATTATTGTTTTCTTCTTAATTATTGATCTTCCTATATCCTTCCCAGTTCCCAGATCCTATACAGTGGACCCCCGGTATTTAATGGCATCGGTATTTGATAAATCCAGTATTCGATGCATGTTATCACAAAAATTTCACCTCGGTATCCGATCAGAAACCCGGTATTCGATGCGATTCATACGAGACGTGTCCATGTGTGGCCCGAACTGCCCCGTGTGTGCCAGTGTTTAAAAGCCAGCCAGTGTGCGCGCATCTAAGGATACATTCGGTACATTCCATATTATCACTGTTTTTGGTGCTTGTTTCTGCAAAATAAGTCACCATGGGCCCCAAGAAAGCTTCTAGTGCCAACCCTTCGAGAAAAAAGGTGCTAATGACTATTGAAATGAAGAAAGAGATAATTGCAAAGTACGAAAGTGGAGTGTGTGTGTTGGAGCTACTCAGGTTGTATAGTAAACCCCAATCAACCATCTCTACTATAGTGACCAGGAAAACGGCAATCAAGGAAGCTGTTCTTGCAAAAGGTGCAACTGTGATTACGAAACAGCGAATGCAAGTGTTAGAAAATGTTGAGAGACTGTTATTGGTGTGGATAAATGAAAAACAGATAGCAGGAGATAGCATCTCTCAAGCGATCATTTGTGAAAAGGCTAGGCAGTTGCATGACGATTTGGTAAAGGAATTGCCTGCAACTAGTGCTGATGTGAGTGAATTTAAGGCCAGCAAAGGTTGGTTTGAAAGATTTAAGAATCGTAGTGGCATACATAGTGTGATTAGGCATGGTGAGGCTGCCAGATCGGATCAAAAAGCAGCTGAAAAATATGTGAAGGAATTCAAGGATTACATAGACAGTGAAGAATTTAAACCTGAATAAGTGTTTAATTGCGACGAAACAGGCCTGTTTTGGAAGAAAATGCCAAGCGGGACCTACATTATCAGGAGGAAAAGGCACCCCCCAGGACATAAGCCTATGAAAGGACAGGCTTACTCTGTTGATGTGTGCCAATGCTAGTGGTGATTGTAAAGTGAAGCCTTTGTTGGTGTATCACTCTGAAACTCCCAGAGTGTTCAGGAAAAACAATGTCCTCAAGGCTAATTTGTGTGTGTTGTGGAGGGCAAACTGTAAGGCATGGGTCACTAGGGGACTTTTCTATGACTTGTTACACCATGCATTTGCCCCCACTGTGTAAAATTACCTAATTGAAAAGAAATTAGACCTTAAGTGCTTCCTGGTATTAGACAATGCCCCTGGTCATCCTACAGACTTGGCAGAGCGACTTTCTGGGGACATGAGGGTTCGTTAAGGTCAAGTTTTTGCCTCCTAATACCACTCCTCTCCTGCAGGCCCATGGACCAGCAGGTCATTTCCAACTTCCAAAAAACTGTACACAAAAGCTGTTTCAAAAGTGCTTTGTAGTGACCACAGAAACTCAACTGACTCTAAAAGAGTTTTGGAAGGATCACTTTAATAGCCTCAATTGTATAAACCTTATAGGTATGGCTTGGGAGGGAGTGACTAAGAGGACCTTGAACTCTGCTTGGAAAAAACTGTGGCCAGAATGTGTAGACAAAAGGGATTTTGAAGGATTTGAGGCTAACCCTGAGAAGCCTATGCCAGTTGAGGAATCCATTGTGGCATTGGGGAAGTCCTTGGGGTTGGAGGTTTAGTGGGGAGGATGTGGAAGAGTTGGTGGAGGAGGACAATGAAGAACTAACCACTGATGAGCTGCTAGATCATCTTCAACAGCAAGAGGCCAGACCTGAGGAAACTGCTTCGGAGGAGGGGAGAGAGAAATTGAAGAAGTTGCCTACTTCAAAGATTAAGGAAATGTGTGCAATGTGGCTTAAAGTGCAAACCTTTTTTGATGACAATCACCCTAACACAGCTATTGCAAGCCGTGCTGGTGACTATTACACTGACAATGTTGTGAAACACTTTAGGAATGTCATAAAAGAACGGGAGGTACAGGGCTCTATGGACAGATATGTTGTGCGACAGAAGTCCAGTGACTCTCAAGCTGGTCCTAGTGGCATTAAAAGAAGAAGGGAAGTAACCCCAGAAAAGGACTTGCCACCTCAAGTCCTAATGGAAGGGGATTCCCCTTCTAAACATTAACATCATCCACACTCTTCCCTCCTCCCATCCCATCAATCATCACCAGATCTTCATTAAAGGTAAGTGTCAATTATTCTATTGTTATTATTCTATTATTGTTGCAGCGCTGTATAGCCCTTGTGGTTTAGCACTTCATTTTGATTATAATAATATTGTTATTGTTGTTATTGTAATTATTCTATTGCATTATACTTAATATTTCATGTAGTAAAATTTTTTTTTTTCATACTTTTGGGCGTCTTGCACAGATTATTTTGATTTCCATTATTTCTTATGAGGAAAATTGATTTGCTTTTCGATATTTTTGGTATTCGATGAGCTCTCAGGAACGGATTAATATCGAATACCGGGGGTCCACTGTACTAATAAAGTAATATTTCAGAATTTTTTCCTAGATTGACATGAATTTAAAAGGAACCTGAACATAAGAGTTTTTGTATAAAAGTAAATCTTCTAAATTTGTAGCTTTGCAGTTATTGGGTAACTTTGTCAGACATAAATAACCTGGTTCTCTCATAAAATAAAAGAAAGTTTAACAATTATTTTGTATTAAACCTTGAACTATTTATTAAAATTGCTTCATTGGAAATTCAGTCCTCAAAGATAAAGGTAATACTGGTGTGTTGTTTGTTTCTTGATTGCATAAGGAAGGGAAGGAGACAGCATGCTGATATGAGCAGGCGATTTCCCTCCTCCCTTCTTTTCAAATAAACTGTCTCTGTTATAATATGAAAAATGCTGATATTTATTTTATAAAGCAGTATCTTAAAAGTATTGGGTCACCATTCTTTTGATGAGATATTCAGTAAGATCACCACCAAAAACAAGCAGAATCTGCTGGTCATAATTTAGCTTGGCTAGAGAGACAGAAGGGGTATCTTGTACATTTTAAATATTAGGAATAAATTCCAGTTAAGTTTTGGTCCTTACAATCCAGTGACATTAGGATCCATCCCAGAAGCAGTGAAGGTCTGCCCAGTGAGACCCCAGGTGTTAAAGGGCAACATAAGATTCAAATTATGAAGAGACTTTGGAAGGGAGATTGGTAGCCTTTCATTCAGCTTGGAGGGCTTTTGATGATTCACTAGCTGTCTTGATAACTCAAAAGGACCTTAAAGTAATATGTTAAAGATAAACTTCCTCCATTATCACATCTTTTTCCTCCCGGTTCTGCTTTGACACTTTCTCATTTCTCATTTCTGATAGTTTAAGAAATTATTTCGGACAGAGTTTTTAAGAGAGTGGAGACATACTGCAGAGATACTTTCAAGGGTTTGCTCTACCCTAGTTCAACTATGGTGGATCTCTTCAGTTAACATGAACACGATATTTTTATCAGGTCCCCATTCACCAAGAATTTTTAAGATATTTTACCTTTCAATTAGAAAGCGTGAACCACTGGTTTGTGGTTCTGCCTTTGGGGTCTGAATGACTCCTTGGATTCTTACCTGAGGTTGTCATGCATTTGTCCACAGCCTTAGGACTTAGAGCTTGTCAGGATTCCTCTGTTTAGACATGAGAAATTGGAGTGTGTAGAGTGAAGGACGGATGGTTTGGCAGATATTCTGTAAGTAGGAGAGCAACAGGTCACGTGATGTCACCTGGAATTAGCGTGGGGTGTTACTGAGCACCATGGCTTGCTGCAGTGTTTTAGAATCTCAGGTTAAAGTGTTGAAGAAGGTTCTACTTCTTCAGGAGGAAAATAGGAGGCTGAAGCTTTGCCTTGATGGGTTTGAGAGCGAATGTGAGATGGTTGGAGCTGGTAAGGAGAAAATGGTTACTAGCAGTGACGTGGGGAGTGTCAGCCACTTTAAGTGGCAAGTGGTTCACAATTCAGGAAGAAGGAAGATAAGGAAGGTTAATGGAGAAGATGTGAAGGTAGGAAATCGATTCTCCATTCTCCAGGACGAATGTACTTCAGTGGTTAGTGAGGTTAAAGGTACCACTGACTCTCCTGCTAATCAAGGTAAGAATATTCTGATTGTGGGAGATTCTCAGGTAAGATATATGGACCATCCTTTTTGTAACAGAGATAGGAAGGTCAGACAGAGGGTATGCCTCCAGGAGCTGGTGTTGGTGACATAGTCAGCAGGTTGGATAATATTATGGCAGGTAATGGGAACAAGCCCATCATTTGTCTTATTACTGGTGGAAATGACATCGGGAAGGGCAGGAGACAGGAGTTGCTGGATATGTACAGGTCAGCCATAGATGTAGTCAGGTCTAAGGGAGGGATCCCAATCATATGTAGTATCTTGCCTAGAAGTGGAATGGGCAATGAATGGATGTCTAGGGCAATTGGTATAAATTGCTGGCTAGACAGGTACTGCAAGGAACTTGCAATCCCATTCATTGATAACTGGGACAAATTCTATGGCAAACATGATATGTATGCAAGGGATGGGGTTCATCTCTCTGGGGCTGGAGTGGTTACATTAGCCGATTTGATTGAGGGGGTCATTAGTGACTTGTCTAGGACTTTAAACTGATAGATTATAGAGGTATGGGTGTCTGTGGGAAACAGTCAGGCTGCAGTATTAGGGTTGAAAACAGCAGATATTACCAGGATACCTCAGGGAAATGTTTAAAAGACAATATTCAAAACAAAGTTGCTAGTATCGGCAAAGCAATTGTTCAACAAAGAGAGAGAGTTAGTACCTGGAGTTTACCTGGAGAGAGTTCTGGGGGTCAACGCCCCCACGGCCCGGGCTGTGACCAGGCCTCCTGGTGGATCAGAGCCTGATCAACCAGGCTGTTACTGCTGGCTGCACGCAAACCAACGTACGAGCCACAGCCCGGCTGGTCAGGAACCGACTTTAGGTGCTTGTCCAGTGCCAGCTTGAAGACTGCCAGGGGTCTGTTGGTA